CGCCCTGAGTCCCCTCAGGGAAAAGGGCGGCCTACAAATATTAATAAAATCTCAAAATCTCAAACTCAGGATCTCTTACCATTGCTAGTGGGACAATCCCCACTAGATCCTTTTGGCAAATGAAAATTTCAGAAAGGGCCATCTCTGTCATCTTCTTCTGAGGATATTCCACTTGCCAGGATATTGGCTGGGTTCCCGAAAGGCTGCTGAAGCTGGCAATTTCAAAATTCAATCGCACAACTTCACTGAACATGTTATTATTGTTGCTTCTGCATGAAAAGAAGCAGAGAAAAGGCATTAGACTAGATAGAATGGCAAAGAATGATTTTTACAAAAGATCTAGACAACCACCAAAGCAACAACACATCATGCGGTACATGGACAATTGGGAAAGAAAGAACAGGGTAATTAAAAGTCAAAAATAACATTTGTCTTTAAGCAAATAAAATGGCATCATTTTTAAGCATTTATAAATAAATATCAGGCGTATATAGAGAAAGTGTCAGTTTGGGGATTTTTTGGTAAAATGTGTTGGGAAAAAGTGACCAGGACAGTTAAGGAGAAAGCAAAATTATCTGTTTAAAACTGTTACAGTGAGTTGGAGAAACTGTACACCACTTCTAACAATTGGCTTGAGGGGGAGGAATCATCATTAATCAATCAGCTGTCACCTCTCCACCATGCAACCTACCTGGATGCATCCATCAAATCAATTTAACTGAAGGTCAGTTTGAAAGATGCTTCATCTTTATTTACGCCTATCCCTTTGCAAAATTTCAACTCAGTGGGTGTGTCTAACTTGTCCCTGGCTAAATTTTGAAGCTGGCAATCCCTTTTTGTTTCTTTTTAACTAGCACAAAAATTAACTGCACTGTTCTTACTCTGAATGGATTCAGGGGTGGGCTTAAAGTTTTTTAGCAATGGGGTCTCTGCCCAGTTGTTGGGTGGGTGTGGCCAAGGTGGGCATGGCCTAGTCAGCCTCCTGCATCATTGGGGGGGGGGCATTTTTGCCCTCCTCGTTCTCCAGAGGCTTTCCTTGAGCCTCCAGGAGGGTGAAAATGGCCTCCCCCAGGCTCCAGAGGCTTCCGGGAGGCCAGAAATAGGCCCATTTCTAGACTTCCAGAGTCTCTGGGAGGCCTGTTTTTTGCCCTCCCTGAGCCTCCATGTGAGCCCTGCACTTACCTGGCATCTAAAAAGGGCTGCGTGGAGACTTCTGTGAGGGGAGGGTTGGGCAGAGCCAGCCAGGAGTGAGATTTGGGGCGGTGGTGAAATTTGACATTTTTTACTACTGGTTCTGTGGCCGTGGCTTGGTGGGTGTTGTGTGGCTTGGTGGGTGTGGCTTGCTGGGCATGGCAGGGGAAGGATACTGCAAAATCTCCATTCCCTCCCCACTCTGGGACTAGCCAGAGGTAACATTTGCCAGTTCTCCGAACTACTCAAAAATTCCACTACTGGTTTTCCAGAACCTATTAGAACCTGCTGAATTTCACCCCTGATTTGGGAGTTTGCTGAACTGTGCCGAATCTTCGCTAGAGGATTGCCTGAACACGGCCGAACCCAGAGCAGCCCAGACCTGAATGGATTTCACAATAACATGCAACCATGCAATATCATCACGAAACCAAGTTGGAGTGAGGACAATGCACCCTTGATCACATTCTAGGGCCATCCATAAAATGGGTGAGGTCAGGTAGAAAGGAGAAGACAAGTGAGAAGAGGAGGATCATCATAAGTCCAGAATGGTTCCACATTGTCTGAAAAGCCATCATTCAGTTGAGTTCATCTCCAAGACTCTCCACTAAGGATCCAATCTGGGTCGGTCAACTCGTGCTGGAGTCCACCCTCAGGGAATTTTTCTCTCATCAGAATGTGTCCTAAAGGTGCTTTTTTTCAGGCGGCAACTGGACTTTCTTATTTTTTGCAGACTACAGGAACCATTTGCACCACTCAGGTGACCCTGACACAAACCTCCAAGTGGCTTCAACGACCCTCTGAAATGATTCAAATGACCAGCTGTCTGCAAGGAGTATAAACCCTTCCATTCCCCACCATCCAGTCAGAGCTGAAGAAGCTTCTTGGATGAGAAGCAAAACATCTTCAAAAGGAAAAAACAAGAAAATACAATTGCCTCCTGAAAAAAGCACCAAACCCCCCCCCCCAACAACACCAAAAGTTCTCTCTGAGCAGATGGGATACCAATCATAAAAATATCTAGGTGTCGTCCTCCCCAAATTGTCATTTTTAGTCAGCTAAACCTTCATCTCTTCTCCACACAGCTTACCCAAAAGAGTTCAAATGCTGTGTAAAAATGTTGGCACTGGACAATTTTGCTCTCCTTCCGGCTTAAAAGGAAAAATGGCATCAATTCCTTCAACCTTTTGGCTTCAAGCCTTTGAACGCTTCCTCTCGCTCTCTTCAAATTTCCTTCAACCCGTTGGCCTAAAACTTTTACAAAAGGAACTCAGTGGTGTTTTTTCAGATGGAAGGTAACCTGACTCCTTTGCCATCTCTTTCTTCCTTTGAGACGCTGTCTCGCTTTTTAGTATTCACCCGATGTGCCATTCTTCGGCTGAGAATGTGGAAAACAAAAGACTGCGAGAAAAGCATCACTTTAAGGGCTTTAAAGTTGCAGAAAATGGATACAATTAAGAAAGACAGCCTCTTTAGGAAGATGTGGGGAAAAGAAGAGTCGCTTCTTCAAAAACAGATACTATTTTTACATTTCCCCCTTTTGCACTGTGTCAATAGGAAGCCTGCCAACTAAAAAACAAATTATAACTTTAATGAAGCTGAATTTTCCTCCCACAGGCTTATGCCCTAAGCTAGATAACTGATTCAGGTCAAGGTATCCTTTGGAAGGTTGTGATAGATGAATTCACAAAAGGCTTCTGAGAAGACAGATTAACAGAGTTGGAAGGGATCTTATAGGTCATCTAGTCCAACCCCCCCACTCAAGCAGAAGACTCTACACCATTTATGACAAATGGCAGTCCAGTCTCTTCTTGAAAGCCTCCAGTGATGAAGCTCCCACAACTTCTGAAGGCAACTTCTGTCCCATGGGTTGATTGCTTTCACTATCAGGAAATTTCTCCTTATTTCTAGGTTGAATCTCTCCTTGATCAGTTTCAATCCATTATTCCTTATCTGGCCTTTGGGTGCTTTGGAAAATAGCTTGACCCCCCTCCTCTCTGTGGCAATGAAGCTTCCCCCAGTTGGATAATTTG